TAGTGGGTATGGCCCACTTTAATATTTTGAACTTAAATATTTTGACAGTTAGCCCCACTGACAGGTGGGACCCACTAGTTTGATTTGATAGTGGGCATGACCCACTTTAAGATTTTAAACATAAATATTTTGACAGTGGGCCCCGCTGATAGGTGGGACCCACTAGGTTAATTTGTTAGTGGGCGTGGCCCACTTTAAGATTTAAAACTTAAATATTTTGACAATGGGCCCCACTGACAGGCGGGACCCACTAGTTTGATTTGATAGTGGGAATCTAGATTATATTTTAGTTATCTATTTAGATATATTTTTTTATAACTGAGGTGGATAGGATCCACCTATTGAATCTTAACTAATTCAGGGGGTAATGTAATTCATCTTCTTAAAGTGGATAAGATCCACCTCATATGACAGAGGGTCCCTTTGTAATAGTTGGCAGCAAACTGAAACAGTGGGGTCCTAGGGGTCTGTCATTTACAAATGGCAATATTGGCTGCAGCAAACTAGTACATTTGTCCTCCTAAGGTCTGCAACACATGTGGTGTCCCCTTTTTAAGTGGATAAGATCCACTGACAGTGGGACCCAGTAGTCTGCCATTTACAAGTGGCAATATTGACTGCAGCAAACCAGTACATCTGTCCTCATTCTCATGTCTGCAACACATGTTGTGTCCCCTTTTTAAGTGGATAAGATCCATTGACAGTGGGACCCAGCAGCCTGTGATTTACAAGTGGCAATATAGGCTGCCACAGTAACATGTGTCCCCCTTTTCAGGTCTGCAACAGTGTTGCAACAGGTGGCAAAGTGCTAAACCAGCACACCTGTTCTATTGTTAGGTAGATAGTAGTGTGCAACAAGTGGCAAAGTGTTGTTACAGATCAGCACACCTGCCCCATTTTGTGGCAAAGTGTTGTTACAGATCCACCGAGATATCAGAGGCTCCCTAGATATACATATATATTTAATTTGAAATAAGCTTTTGAGTTCTAACAGAACTGTAGAGAGAGAGAGAGAAGATAAGGATTGAAATAGATAAAATATTAAAGAGATAGAAGGAAAGAATAAGATTTATACCTGTGTAAACCTATCCTTACACCTCAATCAGCCAAACTTCAACTTCCCTCCTCTATTTCTTCTCTTCCTCTCTCTTCTCTCTTTTTTTTTCTTTCTTTCTTATCTCTTTCTCTCCTCCCTTCTCTCTATTTTCCGCCCAATTTTCTTTTGCTCTCCCCCTTATATAGAGGGAGACAGTTATGGGGTTGGGAGGTTAGAGCAACCTCTCCACTCTTCATACGTGGGGTGGTTGCTTAACTCCCCCCCATAAACAGAACTTAAAATTTGAATTTATGTGGAGTGGGCCAGCTGTTAAATCTGCCACCCCCCTCAAGATTTATTTATTTATATTATTTTATTTTTTTACATCATATTTTTTTAGTCCTAAACAGGCTGATGCTGTGAAGACCGAGTCTTGGAACTGCACCTTCGTACAGGTGCTGTACAAGGATGTGTGATTCCCTTTTTTAGTCACAGGTATGTACTGTAATTGGTGATGTGTGTTGTGCATAGACCAATGATAACTGAAGTCTAATATTTTGGACTATTCCTGGACGGTTTGAGTGCTGCTAGAGGATTAAAGCAGTGTAGTTGTTATTTCTGGACTGTTTTTGAACTGTTTGGTTGAAGTCCAATTTCCTGGATGGTTTGATTATTGCTAGAGGATTTCAGCAGTGTTTTAGGACTGTTTTTTTGAACTGTTTAGTGGCTGCCATTAGATTTCAGCTATGGGTCCTTTGTTTTAGAAGCAGATTTCTGAGTGTTTAGTGCCCTAATTATAACTGTGAGAGTTAGTAGTTGAGTGGGGATTAGTCTTGTGCACCTGTGGTTTATGTTTTGTCTTATAGCCTTTGTTTCTGTCAATGGCAAATGATGATTCTGCCTCATCTGGGGTTACATCAACCCATAGTACAACTGGTATGGTAGCTGAAAATATAATATTTCCTATGCCAATTACTCCTTTGAATGGCCTGAACTACCTGGAGTGGGCTAAAGGTGTAAAACTTTACATAACAGTCAGGGGAAAAGCTGAGTACATAAATGGAAGAGTGAAAGAACCCAAGAATGGGACAGATGAACATGATAGGTGGGACCAAGAGAATAGTATGGTGATGTCCTGGCTTCTGGTAGCCATGGAACTTGATGTGGGCAGACACCGCTAGTGAAATATGGGAACAAGCCAAAACCACTTATTCTGAGCAGAGGCACTATGCTAAGATTTACCAGTTACAAGCTGAATCCCCAACCTGTAAACAGGGGAACCATAGTTTGTCAACTTATTATTCAGCCCTTACTTCAGTATGGAAGGAGTTGGACCACTATCAAGCTATAGAATGGAAACATGATGATGATGTTAAAGCCTATAAGAAGTTGGTTTCTCAGCAACGGAATTTTGCTTTCTTGTTGGGACTAAACCCCATATATGAACCTCTTAGAGTTAGATTTTAGGGAGTAAAGAGTTGCCTTCAGTTCAAGAAGTTTATGCCCTGTTTCAATCTGAGGAAAGTAGGAGGAGTGTGATGGTTACAACTAAGGGGAGCAACAGGTGGCATTAGCTGCAATGGGTGGCAACAATATGGGAAAGAAAAATGACTCCAAGAAAATTGATGATAAGGACAAGTTGTTCTGTAGCCACTGCCGACGTTCAAGACATACACGGGACACATGTTGGGAGCTCCATGGTAGGCCAAAGTAGGCTGTAAAGAACCAAGAATAGGGTAAGGTGTAGGGTCAGAAGATACTCAGTCTGGTGGAGTGTTGACTGGTACTGCTCAGGAGTACTTCACTAGTTCTGACCCCAAGGAAGATATCATGAATTTCTTCTGAGATCACTTGGAATCATATGGTAGGGCCTTGCGCCAGATGGACAGTTTAGTCACTGATACCCCTTCTACTTCATTTGCATCTACATCAGGTAATGCAGCCTTTGCCTTCCATGTATCCACTGCCCCTGATTCCCCCTAGATCATTGACTCAGTGTTCTCCAACCACATGACCGGTAAGCCAAACCTTTTCCAGTCTTGTAACCTTTTGTTAGGTAGGGATAAGGTGAGACTTGCAGATGGATCATTCTCCTCCATTGTAGGCCAAGGATCAATATCCCTTCTTCATGGACTTAACTTGAATAATGTTTTGCATGTTCCTCAACTTCCCAATAATCTGCTTTCCATTAGTAGTATCACAAACTCTTTAAACTACAAAATGACCTTTTTTCCTGGTTCATATGTTTTTCAGTAT